GCCGCTGTTTCACTCCTGCCGCCCATGATGTGCTCTTCGCTGCTGAACAGCCACGGATCTACGTAAAGTTGAGGACGATACATCTCTCGCCAACTGGTACTTTATCCAGCATTCGTCCGCCGCTCGCCTGTCGCTCGCCTGGTGCTCGTCCGGTGCTCGTCCGGTTCATTGTGTGCTTACATGGCTTTTCACACTATCTGTCGCTTCACCCCACTATGCTTAATACATCATTTGTGACTCAAAGTGCTTGCTTGATTGACGTCCTCTCGTGTTCTTTTGAACACTTGGCCTCAGATTTTCCTGTGGATAGATCTTCTCTGATATCTTTATCGAGTCCTTCGGCGGGTTCTCGCTTGTCACAGTGTGGCCTTTCATTACGGTCTGTCCCATATTATGGCTAATACAGCAGCTGGTCACTACGTTGTTGGGGTATCGTATGAATTCACACGCGTGTACACACAGAGAGCTGTCTGATGTAAAGATACCGGTAGGCTTTGAGTGTTGTATAAAGGGAATGCATGTTCACGGCCATTTTTGGTGATGCAATGTGCTGAGCTCAAAGGCGAGACCGTAGCCATGGATCGTTGAATTAAGAGCGCTTGATTTCCCAGACCAGGTCCTTGATGCTAACCTCCTCGCCTGCTTTGTCATCATAATCATACCACTCTCCGTCGGTAAGCTCGATGGCACTGAACTTGGTCTTTGTATCGATCGCGTCAGCGAGCCATTCACCCTCGGGCACGAACTCGGTGAACTCAAGGCCCCGGCAGTCGAACTCGAGGAGCTTCTGCGCCTTGGCGGGTTCGGCCTGCTCATATGAGGTGGGAGCGGCCTTGATTGTGGCCGAAGATTCGCGCTTGCAGTTCTTGCACTTCCACACAAAGTTGGCCTCACCACGGCTTCCGCTGATCTCGTTGTTCTCCTGGTAGCGGTTAGAAGTGAGCGCCTGTGTGAATTGTGAGGTGTCATACGAAACGGCTGACGCCGACGGTATTGGCGTGCGTCTCACGGCATGACGTGCACTGGACCTTGAAAGTGTACCAGAAGGGGTTCCCCTCGCTATCGTCGGGTCGAAGATTCGTGACCCTTGTTTCGTATTAGTGGGCGCTTATCACAGGTCTGTACGTGAGTCCGAATTGGGGTTCGACATACCCTTGAAGTTCAGCCTTGAGCATTAACGCGAACATATTGAAATATCCCGAGACCCTGAACGACTGTTTGTCTGGAAAATAAGAGAGCGAGCTGGTCAAGAGTCGTGGCTGGGATCAAATATAGATTTCCCTCGACATCATGGCGGGGGTCTGTTGAACCTGCGAGCGAGACTGGTCGGCGGGGCACGCCCCTCCAGTCGCATAATGCATATACGGGGCGCTAACCGCCTACCAACTTCTCCAGCTCACGATTCCATCTTCAGAAATCGAACGATCACCTCGAGCACGATCCTATCAGCGCGACCAGCCCGATCATCACGCAGAACGGCCAATTCACTCGCGCACGCGACTTGCGAACTCAGATGCCGACAAAATGCAAGCGCTCTGGTCTAGAGCTGGCCAGGTGCGCTTGTGCGGCTGCAAGGGCTGCCTGCCTGCCGCCAGTGGCATGATTCGACAATCGACGACCCGCGTCCCGCGACGAAAACCGACGTTTGGCGAGTTCTTCACGGCTTTTTACACCTCTATTATGGGAACCGCTGCCATGTACGATGCCAGGAGGAAGGATGCGAGGCGAAAAGAATTGGACCGTCAATTGGCAGAGGTCAGATCAGACCTGGAGAGGTTACTAGAGCCGATACCAGCATCGGACCTCGAGTCCGAGCCCGCGCCACCCTCCGATATCTTTGATCGAAGCGACGGCATGTGGTACGACTACAAGAAACAACGCGGCTTTTCACAATATCTGGACGGCCTGGGCGATACGTCGACGTGGTTAAGAAACGGCCCTCGATCGGCTGAGCTGGAGAGATGGCTGCGAACGTCTGGCCTACCTGAACTGGAGCCGTCAGCCACGGCGGCATCCGCGCCGGACTACGAACAACTTCAGCAGAGGCTGCAACAGGAAGAAGAAAACCCGACTATCGCCCATCGCGTGCCGAAAACCAGGAAGCAACTGATCGCTGCGCAAAACGCTGTTCGGTCGCTCGTGGTCGAGCTTCTCAGGGCAGCAGATCTCGGCAACCTCACCAGGCATGGACGCTTGGATCGGTCTGCCGAGACGGCCTCTGAGATGGAACTGCGGACGATGCTGAAACAAAAGTCATATCCGCTTTTCGAGACGTTAGGTCACGATATGGTCAAGGGCACAATTGAACTCAACCGCAGCCTGAGGGCGATTCTGGCTTCCTCACAGGCGGCACTACGACGAGATGCGACGCACGACATCAGGGATAGCGTCACCAAAGTGTGTTACAACCTGCTGGTGTCACCTCATCCTCCGACGATCCACACTATTAGCATCCTCATTTTGGGGTTTGATCAGATGGGAAAGCACGCCATATCGAACGCGGCTGTCCGGCATTTCCTCTATGCCTCGAGGACAGCGCCGACTGAGCAAGCCATGGTGTGCATGCTCAACCATTACAAGGAACAAGGCAACCTGGTCCGTTTCCACAAGCTCGTCGACCGCTTTACGGGTCGCGACCCCCGAGGCATTCATGTACAAAAGAGGGGGGTGGAAGACCTCCAAGCATGGCTTTCACTGCAAATGTGGGCCAGAATAAAGGACGTTGCCTACCGAGACGACGCTTTCGTGGAACGAATGTGGTTCAGCCGCGACATACTGAACACCATCATCCAGGGCATGCTGTCGTTCGACTGCTTGCGGCAAGCAACGGGCTTGATCAAGCTCTGCTGGGATCGTGGCATTCATGTCTGGACACAAACAGTGCTGCAGACACTTGATCAATGCGCACATGCGCTGGACGAGGATGTAGCGTGGAAGATGATTACAGCACTGGGGGAGCACGCACACAGTATACGGCTTGGGCCACTCAAACAGGCGGAGCGCGATATGTTGTCAAGCAGGCTTCAGAGGCTGTTCGACATTTGCGAGCTAGAGACGTCAGTCGACTCGATCTTCCCATCACTCAAGTCACGCAGTACGGCTACGGGGATGGGAATGAGCAGGACGAGACGGCAAGGCGCCCTGCAGGTGCTTGTTGTCAGGCGCAAGGTTGAAGTGGCGCAACAAAAGTTGGAAGCTCTCGAGTCTGCCGTGGGGGAGCATTCAAGGGGTCTTGTCATGCCACCCTCGTCTCAACTGAAGGAGGCTGAGGCGACGAGTGAAGCACCCCAACCTCAGCCGTCGCGGGCGGAGAAGGCGGTAGTGCCTATAACGTACGAATCTCGGGGAAGAGCACCGATGATGAGCTTCATCCCCCCACAGGTTGAGGCGCACATGGGAAGCTGCTCAGCCTTTGGCTCGTAACCGGGGTGGGGGTTGTTGGAAATGGGATATGGGACGTGGGACATGGAACAGACTGGTTCCTTCACGTCATGACGGTAGCGATTGATGTCTTGTAACACAACATGGGGAGCGTTTTGAAGAATAGAAGCTCCAGTGCTCAAGCTGTTCCGAACAGAGAGCAGCGTATAGCAGATGCAGCACAAATAAGAAAATTCGCAACAAACCAGACCCGACCCTGGGCCGTCTGCAGGCAATGAAATGATATGCCCACCTGAGCAACCCAAATCATCATCATCGAAGAGCAGAATGTCACCGGTCTCGGCTTTGTGCCAATGGTTGTGAGGCACGTCTTTTTGCCTTCAGTTGACCAACACCTCATGTATGTGAGTAGTGATGAGGGGGCAACGGATTATGTGAAGCTTCCACGTTCCCGGATCTCAGATACGGTGAGCTAGGTCGACGGCGGAGTGTGCACATCACTGGCGGTGGAAGACGGTACGCTGCAAAGCCTGTTCGTGAAGTGGGCCGAGTTTCGTCAGCGGCGCCAACCAGGAGGCGAAGGGAATGCACGCGAGGTGAGCCTGGCACATTGACTGGTCAGCCGACCGAGCCCGTGGGGGCCGTAGAGAGACGCCCTGGGCCGACTTTAGAACCTTAGGGGGCCCTGTCCCCGCCAACGTCCAGCTCCGAGAGGCTCGGGGGGGTCGCTGCCTTCACTGATTCGGTCCTCAGATGGCAAGCACAGCGACCGCCCTCACTAGAGTTCGTCTCCAGGAGAACCTCTGTAGCAGCTCTGGACCCTTAATAAGTAGTCGTTGATAACCACCGCCTGTCATTGCTTTAGACGTTCACACGCTTGTCCTGCTGTCACACCCACCCTACAGGTCAATCCATCCTTTCAGTACCTTACACAACCTCAACCTCGACGTCAGACGACACTACACATCCCGTGTCCCTCCCACTCTCCCCTTGCCGTGGCCTGCGCCTTACCAGCCTCAGCTCTAGCAACCGAGGACCAAAAAGAACAGGAACGTTTGGTCGCTGGACTCGGATTCTGCGGAGACTACCTTGGCTAGGTCCGGGGTGGCAACCCTTGAACCCCACGAGCACATCCTCCACTCCTGACTCGGTTCGATTTAGGACCGGGGGGGGCCAAGTTTGGCGTTCACGAGAATGAGAAATGGCACATGATCTCATGCCCAGTTACCACCACGGCTCCCTTTGAGCACGACCCAGGCCAGAGGTCACGAGACCCAAATATTGAATGAGTTTCCGCGCCTTCCCCTTTTTACGCCTCCCTCATCTCACGATCAGCTGCCTTTGGCTCACCGACTCTGAACCTCGTCTGTCAGGATTGAGTTCATTGTCTCGCCTCTCTTAGACCTCGACCCAGACCTGGACCTTGGACCTGGTCCTCGCATATTCCCTGCAGGCTCCACAACAAGGTCGGTTGACCTCCAGCCTCGATCCTCCCCTTCCGCAAACGCGCCGCCGCCGGCACTTGCTCCTGCCACGGACCACCTCCACAGCAACCTGCGCAAGCATTGATATTCTGTCCTCTTGAACACTGTTGTTCACCTTTCTCACGTCTACCTATCAATCATCAAGACGCATCAGGAGGGCAGCGGACAGGTTGCTAACGGTCTACCAGGACTCATTTGTCTTTTCCCTTGTTTTTTTTCATTAGCCTAGTTTTCATCTCCATTCCTCTGGACATCATCTTTGACACCAGCAACTTATTCGGACTGGTCACGCTTCTCTATCACCCGGCAAGAACGACCGGGTCGGCCCTTGATCATGAAGTTCGGCAGGAAGTGAGTTGATGGACATGCGCCCACTTGTCTTGGCCGCCTCACTCAACAGCCCCCTGTGGCGGATCTCCCCTCCTCTTTCTTCTGAAGGCCCTTCTGACGCAGCTCCAGCCTCCCCCGGAATCAGGTGCCTGAATGGGCAGCCTACTACATCAATTACAAGGGCCTCAAGAAACTCATCAAAGGCGCCGCCGAACGGGCCAAGTCCGGCCAGGAGGTTGATCTTGCAGGTAGGGCTTCATTTGGTTCCTTCGCCAGGGCCGAGCCCCTCCCCTAACTGTCGAATCCAGGATTCTTTTATGAACTGGACCGCAACCTGGAAGATGTCGACTTTTTTTACAACAAGAAATTCGGCGATGCCGTTCGCCGTCTGAATCTGCTGCACGACAGATATGGCCGGGTTCCCGACGTCGTGTCCACTCTCGACGAGGATGAGATCAGCGAACTCATGGGCGCCCTGATTGACCTTCGCACGCAGCTCAGGAACCTCGTCTGGTTTGGTGAGATTAACCGCAGAGGCTTCGTTAAGATCACCAAGAAGCTCGACAAGAAGGTCCCGGACACAACCACCCAGCACCGCTATCTCTCTACCAAGGTCGACGTTCTCCCCTTCGCCAAAGACGGCCACGCCATGCGGCTCCTGAGCGAAATTAACAAATGGCTGTCTGTCCTCTCAGAGGCCCAGACCCTGTCCCTTGATGATTCCAGGTCTGACCGCTCGACTCGGTCGTTGGGTCGAGCCTCTGCGAAAGCCATGCTGACGCTGCCCCAAGCCCTCCTCGACAACCTCGATCACGCCATTCGGAGCGACAACGTCGAAGTGCTGCAGAAAACCCTTGAGGAAGGCAAGGTGGCGGCCGACTCCTCGTCCCAGAGCCTCATGCTCAACCTCCTGCAGCGCTCAGTCTCGGCGCGGTCCAGGACTAGCATCGCCTACCTGCTGAAGCAGGTGCGCACTCTGCAGGAGCCTGATGACATCAACGGCCGCACCTGCATCCACCGGCTGGTCATCCACATTGGCCGCGCCAAGGTGCCGTCACCCTCACAGGAGCCTACGGCATATCCGTTCCCTGTCGGCACGCATTTTACCTCTCAGTATATACAGCCAGCTGTCTCGCCTTCGAGCCTTACCAGGGTTCTGAACGAGAATGAAACTCAACTTCTGCACAAGGACGACGAGGCCGTGCAGCTCCTCATTTTCCTCCTTGACCACTTATCGCCAGAGCAGCAGGCAGGACTCATCCTCAAGGACTCTTTCGGCCGTCTTCCGCTACACTATGCTGCGCAATATGGCTTTGTTGTTGTGTGCCAAATCATCATGGCAAAGATGCAAGAATGGGGACAGTTCAATGTCGAGGACGGCATAGATGCAGAGAAGTGGCAGGATAAGGAAGGCTACGCACCGTTGCACCTCAGCGTCATTGGCGGCCACCCTCTCACAACGAAAGCTCTCTTGCAAGGCGAAGACTGGCAGGGCGTCCACGAGAACAAGACAGAAATGAGGAAGAAAGTCGCAAAGTCTGGCGCGGTACTAGCCCTCGCCACCAAGTTCAACTACAAAGTCATCGTCGAGATGCTTGTGGAGGCTGGTGTCGACATCAACTGGCGCGACAAGACTGGCGAGACGGCGCTCCATCTCGCTGCGCGCTTCGGCCACGATGACTGCGCAAAAGTCCTCCTCAAGGGAACCAGCGAGCAGAAGGCCGACACAGAGATCATGGAGAGCACATACAATTGGACGCCGCTCCATGTAGCTGCTGTTGATGGTCATCTAGCAATGGTCCAGCTTCTGATCGATGCTGGCGCGAAAATCACCAAGCCCGATTCATCTGGCTGGACTGCCAAAGAGCATGCTGCGCTGAGGGGACACCTAGACATTGCTAGGCTGCTCGCGGCCAGCGCTCCGGAGAATCTCGATGCCCCGAGTCCTTCTTTGAAGCCCATCAGCGAAAGCCCGAATGGCGGGAGTCGGCCGTCTTCTCCAGAGTTATCCTCCATCGATGGACGCAAGTCCAACGGCGCGGCTCGCCCAGCTGAACCCGTGAAGACATTCGGGCACCGCTACCTGACCAATGAGAGTTTGGTCTTGGTCAGTCTGGGCTCGATGGACATGCGCAAAAATGTTGACGCCGTCAAGCTTGAGCGCGTGCCCCTTAACGAGGCTCACCTGACACAACTGGACACGGCTCTATCTATTGTGGTCTCGGCAAGTGGCGCGACCGGCGAGCCGACCATCATTGATTTGCCTGTGCATGAGAACATCAGCACCGAGCCCATTGTGTTCATGGCAGGCGACGTCACCAAGGTCAAGCTCATGTTCGACATTGTTCCCACGTACTCGGGGAATGAGAAGAACAAAATCGGACGAGCCGTGGCCCTTCTGTCCTCCATCAAGCCGACGATCGGCCTCAAGAGGATGAACCTGCAGGGCGATGTCTGCGTGCCCATCATGGGAGCCAATCTGGAGGTCATTGGCACGGTCAACTTTAACTTTCTCGTTGTGACGCCCTTCTCTCATCCCAACATGGAGATCAACTCTCATCAAACCTATTGGAAAAAACTGACATCGACAATGGTGATCGGCCATCGAGGACTCGGCAAGAACCTGACGTCCAACAAGTCCCTTCAGCTAGGCGAGAACACAGTCCCTTCGTTCATTGCGGCTGCTAATCTTGGAGCAAACTATGTTGAGTTTGACGTACAACTGACCAAGGACCACGTCCCTGTCATCTACCATGACTTCCTCGTCAGTGAAACGGGTATTGACGCGCCAGTCCATACCCTGACGCTTGAGCAATTCCTCCACATCAACCCCGACGCCAAGCGCCACAACGTCCACGAGCTGGTTCATGAGTCGATTCAGAAGATGCGTGTTCACGGCAATGGGCCTGGGCCCCGGCAACGGTCACAATCTATGGGCTTTGTGGGCGAGCAAAACACGGTTCTGGATGAGCGCATGAAGCATACCCGTGATTTCAAGGAGAAGGGATACAAAGCCAACTCGCGTGGGAACTTCATTCAAGCGCCCTTCGCGACGTTGGAGGATCTTTTCTGCCAACTGCCTGGACACATTGGCTTCAACATTGAGATGAAGTACCCCATGCTTCACGAGAGCGAAGAGCACGACATGGACACTTACGCAGTCGAGCTCAACTCCTTCTGCGACACGGTCCTGTCAAAGGTCTACGACCTCGCGGAGAATAGGCAGATCATTTTCAGCTCTTTCAACCCGGACATTTGCCTCTGTCTCAGCTTCAAACAACCCTCCATTCCCATCATGTTCTTGACAGATGCGGGAGCCTCTCCCGTGGGCGACGTGCGCGCCTCTTCCTTACAGGAGGCCGTTCGGTTTGCCAGTCGCTGGAACCTGATTGGCATTGTCAGCACCGCAGAGCCGTTTGTCAACAGCCCACGTCTGGTCAAGGTGGTTAAGGAAAGCGGTCTTCTTTGTGTGAGCTATGGTGCCTTGAATAACGATTCGATCCTGGTCCAGGTTAGTTCATTTCAGTGCGTTGGGCGTGGCGAATATCGGATGCTGATTGTGCTGTAGCGCCAAGTCAAGGAGGGCATAGATGCGGTCATTGTCGATAACGTCCTAGCAATCCGCAAGGGTCTTACGAGCAACGAGACGGAAGCCCATATGTCGGGTGAGGTCACAGCTGACCCTGTCGCGGCATGAATGGGGTTCGAGAACATATATTCGGCATACAGTACGATGGGACGGGGATACGTATCCTTACAGAGACGATGGCTGGTTAGCCTTCAACAACGGAACAAAAGGGCGGCATCAACTCGCCCCGGATACGACTAACGAAAAAGAAAATGAGTGTGGTAGACACTCTCGTCATTGCGATGACGGTTTTGCTTTTTGTTTTCCTAGTTGTGATGGACCTCAATCCGGTGAATCGACGCCACAGGGGCCATCGTCGCTCGAGAGTCGAGAGCACATGATGCAGTCAAGGCTTGCTTGCTCAGACAGACAGACGTTCGCTTCATTGATGGTATTTGGTGGACTTGGGACTCGCGTGACATGAGTGACGGTGCCAAGCTGTTGCGATCGATAAAGTGCCGACAAGAGTGACACTGGATCGCCATCAAGTATGAAACCAGCATGGCATGCGCCGAGGGGTCACCAGGTTGTGACCCGTCTGAGGTGACGTCCGCAGGTTTGGTTCAGCCCTAGCGGCCTTTTCCTGTTTCTTGTCGCCTGTTGCCTGTGGATTTGTGTCTTGATGAACCATGACTGACACAAAATGCTAGGGGAAGACGGCAACCTAACGAGGATCTCGTACAGAAGTGCACCATCAGGGGCATTCCTTGGTGGTCTCTCTGCCCAAAGCGTGCCGTAGCCGCCAGCACAGCTCCCTTTGTTTCGTTCACACGGTTTGTTTGCCTCCCAGCTTCAAGGTTGCGACACATGCGCGTCCTATTGCTCCAGGATTCAATGTCGACCATTCTCGGATGCCATGCCAAGCTCACGGGAGTATCATTGTCTTCGGAGAGTGTGCCCATGACAAGTGCAAGTTCATAATTCATGGATGGCCGTATTCTCGACAGTGCTCGAAATGCCATGCGGTAGACGGAGAGCCTAGGACGAGTTTAAGTGGAATATCTTTCCCGCGTCTCCTCTTTGTACCTGTGAACTTGTTTCCCTCTGTTGGCACGACATTCTCAGTGGGACGAGATGCACTGTTGACACTCGGTAGATATTGATTTGGCCCAATTGAAAACGTCGTTGTTTTTTAGTATGGCAATAAGTGAACGACAAGTGGCCACAATACAGAAACGTCTTAACGCTGCTTCTCTAGCTGTGAATATCAGATCATGCTTATTTTACTCTCATCTCTTTTCATGAATCCAGTCTAAACGGTCCACTATATCATTATTTAGCATGCCTTCTCGCGCGTTCATTGTAGCTCTATGTGTCGTCTTCAATCCCTCTTTCGTGGGTGGTGCCAGGTCTCACTGCTCTTGCTGTCTACCACACTCATGCACGAGAGCGAATCGTATACTCGTTCGTCCTCGACCTTCCCAAATACCTTTCGCCGATATTAGGCACTGGTAGGTAGCATAAGAGACTAAGCACGTACTGGACCATGACGCGGGCTGGGCTTTTCGTCTTCTCCTAGAATATCTCAGACTCTCCTGCAATGACACCGCAGATAGATAGGACACAAGTCACGGAAATCTGGCAGCTGCGGGTGAGTCTGGAGCTCATGTGCACTTGTCATGTCTTTCTGCGACGGATGTATACCGTTTTCCTTCTCTTGGAGATTTGCAGGTCCTTGAACGGACATTTGAGGTTTGCTAGCGATGCTCAACATCTTTCAAGAGTCACTGGGAAGACCTAGTTTGCGACGACCAAAGGTATTGACCCCTTCGGAGGAGGAGAGAAGAGCAGCCCGCCTTCAGAACAACTGTCTCGCGCAGCCTGGGAGGATATTGGCATGGTTCCTAGATGCTCGAGCAGAGCCTCACTTTGGGCATCGAGGAGTCGATTGAGGTCGATGAACATGATTATCATTTCTTAGGAGCACAGCTCTGCTACCGCCGGCTTTCGTAGATAGCCCGACTTTTGTCTGAGGATCATGCCAGTCTCCTCACGAGGGTACGCGTGTCCTTCTTAACCATCTACGCCTAGCATCTTGTAGAGGATTGCATTGGGATTGACAGCCGATGGATGCCATGGCAGACCATGCAACTGAGCATCCATATATATAGAGCGGCCGTATGACGAGCAGCAGCTCCTACAACAACATCTAGTATCTTGCATATCTCTCTGACGCCGAGCTTAGGGGGCCCTCATCCTCGGCCAGCAATCCTGTCCGAAACGTGTTGGTTTTCTGATCGACCTCGACTTGGTATCAAGATCACAGGAAGCCGGCAGAAGATGGTGGATGTGACCGCCCTCGTGCCATTCCTGATTAAAGGGGTTGAGCTCGACTGGCTGCTCGCTCGGTATCGTTTACGGTATGCAAGGTCCGATTTTCGATGTCGGGTTTCAAGGCTTTGTCGGAAGGTGATGTCGTTCACGGCTCGGCTACTAGGGCGTCTCTCCCTGAGGCTATGTTGCTGGACGGCATATTGCCCTCGAGACTTGAAAGTATATTGAGATTGGAAAACGGGAAGACGATATCACGGCAGATGTTCCGCGACGTCAACGTCGATGAAAACTCAGTTCTTTTCGTGACTATCTCGGCCTCTCAAGCCCAGCCTTGTTTACACCGACACTGGAGTCGAACTCTGTTCTACGGCACGATGCCTCGGATGTCGGTGTCGCCGCCAGGCTCGAGTCAGTCTTCAAGGCAGACACGATGGGCTTGAGCTTGACCTGGAGACCGCCGGATCAAGGGCTGCCTGTCTGTCACTATGACCATCATTAGAGCCAACGGCGGCGACCATGTCTCGCTCTCCTTCTCACAGTCTCAGTGCCATGGGGAAAAGGGGCACTTCGTGTGTCTCGCTCATTTCAAATGGCCACAACAAGATGGCATGACACGTCAGGCAGCAGTCTGTCTTCATTTCTCCCAGCTAATTGTAAGAGACACGACCTATAGCAACAGAACACCGCTGTATTCGGTTGAATAGCTCATCTCGTTGGGCTGATAATCCTCCCCGTATGTCCCACCCCGTACAATATCACATGAAGACGAAAGCCTCAAAACATATGATCCAGAAATCGGCCCTTCAGCAACCTCGCTTGACTCCTAACCCGGACTATATCAGGCTGCTCGCCTTGTCACATATTACCCTCTCCTAAGAGGTTAGATATTGGTGATCGTCAGTCTCGTCCAACAATGTTCCCGGAACCACCGCCTTGGGGCAAGACATTGACAAGCCCCCACGTGATGCAACCTCAGACTTTTTGTTGACCACCAGGAACCCCCCCTGGTCGTGATCCGGCACCTCGAAATTCAAGACTGTCGATCTCCCCAAAGGACCACTGGGCCACCGCATCGGGACGTGGAATTGTAGCCATGTACCTCTACAAAGGTCGCAACTCTCGACAACCCCCGGTCCTGAGGGCCCATATCGCGAGGGTTTGGCGACCCTTTTCTTTTCTGGCCCCCCTCCCCCCTCCCCCCTCCCCCCTCTCCCCTCTACCCTCCACAATTGCTGGTCGCAGGTGGGGGGAAGCCGAGAGGGGGGGTGTGTCGATGGCGAGACCGATGATGAATTTGACTGTCTACCTGCACTTGATAAATGACCGGAAGGCGGGAAAATGTGACAGAGACACGCTGAGGAAAGAGAAAGGATACGAACCCACTGACCAGACACATGGACAGAGGACGAAAGATTGCGAGCCAAGCCCCTAAGGTGATGCGTGGTGGACGATCTCGCAGGCACTCCGTATTCCCTCTGACCTGTCTGCTGGGAAAAGCAATGCGACGTGGGCGCCCATATGCCGATGTCCAAGACACACAGTGTCGCTCGACGAGGTACATACGTGGTGCCTATTCAGTTGCGTGCATTCATCCTCCTTCATTGTTCTGGCGTTGCTTTTTCTACTTCGCGTCCTTTTTTGTTCTTCCTCCACCTCCACTGGCGATTGACTGGGGGAACGGAACTGCAAGTGAGTGGCATGGAAGCTCGTGGAATGGCCTGGCACGGCCAAAACATCTCACCTGTCACGTTTTCTCATGGCCCTTGGCCCTTGGCTGTTGGCCGTTGTCCGTGCCGCCTTCAGGTTGTCGCGTGGCTCATGTCAATGCCACCAACAGGCGGCGGCGTCGCGCATGTGTTTACTGATCGAGTCTGGCCATATCTACGTAAGCGTAGGCGCAAGAAGGATGAATGAGGCTTGCCAGACGAGACGTCGTTGGTGATGACCTAAAAGGGGACCTTCGTTCCCGTCCCACCTCACCCATAGTTAGTACCTTGGTATTTGGCAAGGGAATTGCTATCTACATGTACCTCACTGTCAGCTGTCACATCGTGCTGTGCCGTCCCGGAACACGGGGGCTTGCTCCCGCTGCCGCTGTTGCTGTCGCTTCCACTGCGGCCCTGAAGGGGGGACAGCCCCGGCCATGCCCTGTCTGTACCTGAACTCACACTCCGTCGACCGCCGAGAATCACAACTCTCACCGGACGAGAGCGGTCATGGGTATCTGGACCAGGGCGTTTCGGCGGCATCGAGCGATGTCACCCTGGGGTCTGGTGTTCGATCATCCGTCCATCCGGTTGTCCCCGTCCAACCATGAAGACAAGGCCCTTGTCCGTCTCTGACCTGACAGGCGAAAACTTTTTTTTCTTGTCACGCCTTTTCTTCCCGTTTCGGCTTCTCTCACATATCAACTTTGCTTTCCCTCGTCAGTCTTGCTCCCTCCAATGTCGGTTCTGCCCAGGCCCCCCATGTTCCCCGGTAGAAGCGTGCAGCATCTTGCTCGCCGCCCGCTCTACCCACAGCAGGTTCATGCAAGACGCGCTGCAGCTCGAGATTGGGTCGATGGTCGGAGGAAAACCCTCGCTGCAAGCATCACTCACAAATCATCCGTCCATCTGGTCCAACAGTCACTTGCCCTCTGAGAGCAAGCAGAGCCCGCAGTTGAGCAGCCCCGTCATTCTCCACGAGAACCCCTGCAATCGAGACGCGAGACCGGTGCCCATGCTGACGCTCCAATCGCAGCCCCCGTTGCCGTTGCTTTTTCTCTCTCTCCAAAAGCGAGAGCAGACCAGACTTGGCCCCTTCGCCGTCACTTGTCAACTCGGTTGACTCATCGCCTCAGTATACTTGCTGCACCTTACCTATACTTGACCCTGTCTTCGCCCAGTCTCGCCTGCGTCGCATCTTCAGTCGGCAGGAGCATGGCAGACAAGTGACTGGGGAAAAAAAAAGGTGTATCTCCTTCGAGAACGCGCCGCTTGCTTGCTTGTGCCGATAAGCTGCATGTGGCCGACATCGTCTCGTCAATGTTGACGCCCCGTTGAGGTATTAACATCGTCACCGTACTGCCCAACTCTGCAGAGCTTGCGATCTCGCATGAGCTGCGCCCGCATCCTTTCGCCGCCCCGGTCGTGGCAAGAAAGCCGTGATAACCCGGTTTGTGCGGAGACTTTTCTCAGAGATGGTGGTGAGCGGCAGTGAGAATGGAGGGGTGTGTGTGTGTGTGTGTGTGTATGTGTGTGCCAGATCTCCGATCTTGCGCTCGAATCGACCTTTCACAGCGTAGGACTCCGATCGCTGGTGGCCAGCCCTGAGTCCGGGAACCTGGAATAAGTCGTTTCCAAAGGCCGTCGGATCATGCTGTGAAATCCTCGCGCCATTCGGTGTGGCATCATTCCGCTGACAGGTCATCATGAACTCTCGCCATCCCAGCATCATCGCGACAATGCCAGGCGAGTGAACCCTCTCAATGACAAGACCCTATCGTAGGTTTCGGCAGAGTCCAACCCTATCGGCGACCAAGACAAGCGTATCGCCAAATCAGTTGGAATCCACCTCATGCGAACACGTTTCTTTTCCCCCATCTTCCTGATCATGGTGCCATGCCTGCAACATGCACTCATGGACCCCGGCCATCGCGTAATCTCGGAACAACCCCGTCTCACTTATCTGCCTGTATCTGAGGCACGCTCTCGCATCTCCAAGTCGACCAGTCGTCTGCAGCCCTGCAAAGCCCGTCACACGGCCAAAGAGGCCTGTTCAATCAGCCATCATGAAGCAATCACCAAGTGGGGGTAGCCATCATCACTGTTCGTTGTGCCAGGGTCATCGTCCGTTGTGGAAAGGGCACCCATTAGGGTATGTGCAGTAAGGTAGACGCTGTGGTTCCGAACAGGCAGAGAGCCGGCCCAAGCAAGTCAGTTCTTGCGCCCAGTGCGCCCAGCGGCTTTGGTGATATCATCATCGATGCTCGGAGCTTACGTGCGAATCCCGACAACAACGGAGCTTGGGAGCCCCGATGTGCTTACCGGCCCGCCTCCGAGGCCGCGTGAGGGACCGGTCGTGCGCTCCGTGCCTCTCATAGCAAACGTTGCCGCTTATCGCGGTTGACGCTGAGTTAGCTCGTCAGTCTGTGTGTCATAGCTTTCAGGGCTCTCGCGTCACGAGACGCCTTTCTTCCCTTTTCGAGTCAACACTGCTTTTTTAGCGCAGGAGGTGATCGTCAAGCCCTCCCCCACGGGACCACTTGGCGGCTCATCATGCAATGATCTCCCCTTCCGCCCACGGTTTCCCACCAGTCTCCAGACGGGCCCATCCGAGTCATTTGGATAGAATATGATTCAAGTCAAACCACGTCTAGGCCAACACCCTCACAACTTGCTTCAGTTTGTCTCCGCGTTACACCGCCCGGTATAGGGCGGCCTCCGTCACTTCCGGCCTCGACATCGTCATGACACACTAGCGACGTCGTAGCCTGGCGCGCTGTAGGAGACTTGGACGAACCTGGCCTTTCCCAGTACTGTGCTCACGCCCCCACCTTGTCCTGAGTCCACTACGGAAGCATTGAGCTCTCTCGTTCAGAGCCCTTCGGGGTAGGCCTAGACGTGAGTAGACGTGGACACAGGTGACGGGAAAGACCTCTCGCAAGCCGAGTTGGGTAGTCCAGGCCAGCCCAGCATGCGCCCCAAACGATAGCTGGTCGTCAAAAACGGCCATCGCCTCGGCGCCTCAGCTTGCTACAGTCCCGAACTTCACATGAGCGACTCGGCCGAAACGGAACACCTCCCTACACAGAGTGGTCCTGATCTACATCCAGTCAGGTAGAGGGGCGGCCTGCCGGCTGGCAATCATGGCGTCCATAGCGGTCCCCGACCCGGCGAGATGGGCATTGCCTTTGCCTAATCAGTCTTCCTCGACTGCCGCCACCAGTGGTTCGTTTGTCTCACTTGGCCCGCGCGTTTCGTGTTGGGGGAAATGAGTGTTGGAAAGCCCATGATGTTGTGTACGAGTACGAGCAGCTCTGCCTACCTACCGTATACAGTGCACTTGTTTGAACTAGGCACGTGGCTCCGTTGCTCAAACACTGGCCCAGCGGCGGCCTGGTTCGTGGATGAGGCCCATTCCAGCTGTCCTTAGTGCATCTACGTTAGTTAGTACGCCGGCGAGCGTGATAGCGCGGCAGGGCCAGGGACTGGCTTTGGTTTTTTGGCGGTGGTGGCAACGCTACAACCGCGGGTTCTGGGACTTCACACGCCTCGTCCTGGTGCTCTAGTGACATGATCCGGCACTTCGTGAACATGACGATGGGAAATGAGACCGCCTCCTGCACCGAAAACCCCTGATTTCTGGTCCAGGCCGCTGATTTGTAGTGGCTTGCGTCTTGAAGCCATCGTCCCCTCCACAGGCTCCGCCGAGAGCGTCTAGCTTGGGAGCTACCGGGGCTCTAACCTCACTTGACCTTTGTCGTCGTCTGTGGGAGCGCCTCCATGAGATAAGTCCGATAGGGACCCAGGGCGCATTGGGTTTCTCCATGGCGGAGACTTGCGGGATACTAGGCGCAACGTGAAAAGGACCGGACTGACGGGTCCCAGGGCCACTAGGTGATCATGTTTGGCCCGGCTTTGAGGATTTACTGACGCCGGAATTTCTACGGGTTACCTTCCTTAGGTAGGTAGGGCCTTGAAATCTTATCGTGAAGCGGCGTGGTCCATCGGATGTCTTCCGTCTTCAACACAATTCGACGGTGCCGCGCCGTAGATATGGATCGGAACATTCCACTACGATCGACGGGCTAAAGGCTGATCCGCAGTAGGCGGCGATCCGTGCCCATGGTGTTCCTGAACTGGCTGGTCCTGATACTATATCGCACAGCAAAACTGACCTGATGATGACAAGCTATCCTGGACAACAGGAGCTGGTGCTGAAGTCGGGCGGAGCGGCTGTCGTCCATCGCCACCGGAAGCCGGCTGGCTTGGCCAGGGCTATCGTCTCCGAGAACTGCACGAGGCGGAGTACCTGATCCCCAGGATGTCTCAACTATCTCCAAGCCCGTCTTCCCCGTCTGGATGGGCAATTGTCTCCTAGAGGTCTCCAGTAGCGGCCGCAGCTTGTTCAATTTGTTTCGCGTCCAATGGCCCCACGCCCGACAATTCTTGTCGCTAGAACACTGAGCCCAGACCTCGAGCGGGAGGCGAGGGAACCGCAGCTCGACCGTAGGGAGGCCTGTGCTGTGACACCAGCCTGTTCAGCGTTGAGATGCGCTGCGCAAGGGGCCCAGGGTCACATCCGGAAGCCTTCCGACCACGTGGTTTGCGCGGAGACGTGGTTGCGCACCCACCATCTGCCAAATCCAACCATCAGTGACATCGATCGGTCGTCAACCTGAGAACTATTCCAGTATGCTATGCTATGTATTGTCACCACGCCTTGGGTGTGATGAGCAAAGACGCAGCAAAGTGTGAGCACATCACGGGCAAGTTGAGACTTGCTTGGCTGATGACGGATGGATGGAACTGCCGAGCGACAGCAACCCCGCTCCTATCCAGGATTGCCCGCCTAGTCCGTCTCTTCATTGCCGTTGTTGCTGAAACGCTCCTCCAACCAAAATGTAACCTCCCTGACGATGTCACGCAGATCACTTGTGATGAAGCAACCGTGGGGCGCAACCAGATGCTTCGTGAGAGTATCTTCAAGCCCCAGTGAGGTGCAGAGAGTGTCAAGTTGCGCAACTAGGCGACACTGGTGGTGCGCCAAAGTCATCCTGCACCTGACTCAGGTCAGGCATGGTGCTCGACAAACCTGTCAAGTCATTTGCCCATCTTCTTAGGCCATGGGCCCCCTGAGCTTAGATCGTCGCTAGAGGGCGCCGGCTCTGAACTCCATCCTTAGCTGCAAATCTGGGTGATGTTAAGCGCACCTTTCTTCACCCACCTCCCATGTGGGAAAGCAAGCCGGGAAGGGTGATACCTTGCGAACAGGAGACAGGCAGTCACAGGAGAATATGAAGCTACGAATCATGACACAAATTCGTGGCTAGGCAAACATGGCCGCCGGTACCTGGATAGCCTATCGTGTGAGCCAGAGTATTTGTCACTTCTACCAGGACATGCCTCCACCCATATGTGGCAGCCCTATGAGGGCTGTTGAGGAAAAGGGGTTCGCCAAAGTAATCTGCTGAATTCGATATTATCATGCTGGTGGTTGATCATTGACGATGGTAACGAACCAGGGAGGGGGTGGTTTCGATACGCAGGCCTCAGGGACTGGTAGCCCTGGTGTGCGTTGAATTGGTTGGAGTTTCTCGTTGGACGTGGGATTATCAGCCTGGTTGGTAACCCACAGCCCAACAGCCGCATGAATATCCAATATCAAGCTGCAATATCATATCGGGGATTTTCTACATCTTGCATATTGACCCCTTTGTCAGGCCCGGAAACAGTACTAGCAACAGCAAACCATTTAGTTTGTCCGACTGGAGCGAACATGTGAGATGGTTCGCGGTGACTATAGCTACGCTGGACAGTGCTGGGCAAGCAAGGCTGCGCCTGTGAGGATTGGGAGATGGTTCGATATTGTCTCGTGACGGGTTCTCGTGAATGGCGGCGCTGATCCAGCCCATGAGGAAATGAAAGGAGCGCGGCGCGACTTGGCATGGGTTCTCAGACATGTTGTCAAAAAGAGACAAGCGTGTCTTTGCGATTCTCGCCTGAGACATATTTCCTGCAGCGCACTGTCTTTCGTTCGACACACAGACATAGCTGCCCGGTTCTGTTTATTCCCATGTTGGGACTGACTCTGGCGCTGACCAGTTGGATCGCAATGGCTCAAGCCTTCTCATCCATCAAGTCCTTCATTCCGCACTCTGACTTCGGTGATGATCATATCCTGTCGGCTTTCTCCTTGGATGGTTCACATGACTGACCCACCGATACAGAGCCAGCTAGCGTCATTGAACACAACATCGCATCCGCCGTGATCTTGGAAAGGAGCTACAACCGAGGGACTCGACCCTGGAATTCCTCTTTTCCGTGCGAAGGCCGATGAGGTTTTGACGATGTGTTCGGCCGAGTCGGAACGGCAACTCAGTTCATCGCGCCCAGACCCGTTCAAGGCCCCATTGGTGTGGAGAAATCCTCCTGGCAGTGAACCCTTTCTTTTTCCTCCAGGCTTGATGCAGACCTGAGTCTCGAAGCGGCCCGGTCCTCGATGCGTTCGCCACTTATCTTGGTAGCTAAGCTTGGCAAAGTCTACTGCTAGTGCGCACAAATGCTCAAGTTTAGTGGACGGACCACAGCCCAACCAACGCAAAGGTTTGCAAGTGATCAGTTTCCGATTCCCGAACTTCACGCTGTCCAACCAGTACCTCAAAATCTTTCCGGCGTCGAATGTGTGGCGCTGGTGGCGGAGAGTGCCGGTCGAGTGTCCCTGAGTTTTGCTGCCAGCACGCCTGCTTTTTGGCCATGCATTCTTTCCAATTTCGGACAACACTGGCAGATCCCAGATTCAACACATGATCGGTATTTTTGCTGCCTATGGACGCTGTGTGCCACCGCTGTCTGAGCGCGTACACCAAGCTAGGTCAGGGCAACCGGCCAGGCCGCCAACCTATATCGATGACGAGTCTAGACCAGACGCCATCTGTGTTCAGCTGTCATTCTGATGGCGAGAGGGGTGACAGGACGTACAAAATGGCCTATACTGGATCTGCGATGGAGTTAGCTGCAAGGAGTCGTCTGGCAGCTGTCTTTGTCCAAGAGAGGAAAAACGATGCGACCCTATCACAACAGACCGGACTTGTGGTCATGATGAACAGTCCCATATCCCTCCTTCGCCGAGCAGAGGTTGACGAGTGTATCAGAATAGCCGTCCCATCGGGGTCACGTAATGTATTATTAGAGTGCTGACTTGACTGGAGGTGACACTGTCGAAGGAGGGCTTCAGCCATCTTGACTTCGATGGTCATCGTAGGAGAAGCTCGATTTCTTGCGGTCCTCTTGTCCTGATATTGCTGCGAAGACTGATGCGTTCTTGACTCGACGCCACCTGTAAGCCCAAGTCGAGCATACTTGCCGGAGCAGTATATGGGACCAATATATGCAGCTACAATGATGCCGAGTTGGGTTGGCTCGGCCTGAACTTGAGTGCATCATACGGGGGCGCATGGAGATTGGGCATAATATTCTTTCTACGCAATGAATGTTACGGAGCTCTGCTTGATCTGGTCAGCAGTATGTTGCTGGGCAGGCGGGTCACGGCTCGACTGACCAACATGTGATGCCGTTGGATGACAAAATGGTTCTGTGATACAAGAGCAGCACCCGCTGCCCTAATTCCGCAACGCCCACTTCCCGTGATCAGCGTGAGACCACAACGGTATCGTTGGGAATATATGATGAGCTCCATCACCATCTCTACTACAATGCAGCCGCGCTGGGGCTTGAATATTGTCTCAAGGATCCGAACCCTGGGCCCGCGCATTGACAATCGGATGTTGATGTGACGAATTCTTAGGCCGGCGGCCGCAGCTGGAAGCAATGTCTATCCACTGTCACCTGCCAAGTGAGTGCCCTCAAGATCCTGCTGGTCAACGGCCTGGCGAACGCGTCATGTTTGTTGTTCCACAAGTTGGCAATTGTGACGGTCCGACATGACGCCTCAGGTCCTTTGGGCCTGAACAGGCTTTCCTTCCGTCCCCTTCCGTCACTTGTGGCGGTTGTCATGCCTTAGGGAGCGTCATATTGCGCGACCATGCGAGCTTATGCAGGCTAGGAGCATTCACCGCGCTGTACTTGTTCGTGTCTGGATAGGTAGTTGTTCATCAAAGATTTTGGTTCTGAATCAAGGCGCTCCAGCTGTTGGCGTTGTCGTCGCCTGCAGCGCACAGAACAGTTGCACAGCATCGGGATCACCTGCACGCTTGGCCTTGCTACTATTGGCTTGCTGTTTTAGTGGGCTTTTTCGCTTCGCGTGATGAGCAATTGACTCGGCCCCGGTTCCCGGACGAGGTGACTGTTTAACGGGAGGTGTTATAGCCAAATGACCTGATTTTTCGTCCTCCTGTATCTGTGTATTTGTCGTTCCGGCAATTGTTGCGTTATCGTACTACCCCGCCTTTCGGGTTCATGAGACGCTTGAAAGGGTATCATCGTGTCAACAACCAAGTCAGTCATGGACGCGAGCTGCTGTTGAACGGCTAGCGTAGTCTAGGCCTGTGATCGCTAAGAGGGGGGCACAAGTAGCGGTGGGATACGGCGTGCAGCGTCCCCTTGTCATGCTGCAGATGCATGCAAGTAAGTGCCCTGACTGACGAGAATGGCGGGAGGTTGGGCTTTGGCGAGAGGGGTTTTAGCTGGACATCCATGTCGACGGGAGAAGAAAGATGCCAAGCATACCCGCGTCCCGCAACCTGAGCGCGATTGCGCACACAGTACACCATGACACCTCCACTCCATCGGCGGTCTTGCAGGCACCATCCAGCGGCCATGGCTAGGGCAGCCCCTGTGAGCCTCAGTGATATCCAAATATCGCAAGGCTGTCGGGTTGCGTGACGCCACCCACAGAGTAGTACTCGGGCGTTCATCTGTGTTGGGATCGGGGCATGACATGGCTGTGGATGAATTGCATTGGCCTTTTATTTGGGCGTTTGCATTCCGTTTTTGTTGGATGTCCTTCTGCCAGAGCGTCTTGCCCCTTCCACCTGTCAAGCCCCGTCCAGCGGCGACTTTTACTCCTGTTTCTTTAGGTACCGAATATGTAGGGGTGATGTCGCCCTTGATGCTTCCAACAGTAGGCAGCTGCGCTTCACGTTCGGCCAATCTCTTGCCATTATTATGAGGAGGTTTGCCGGAGCGCGCAAGCGGGACGCTTGACGACTGTCGCGCGCTTGTTCCAAGTGGCACAACAGGCTGGTGATGGATTGGCGCGGTCGCGATCCACTCACAACCAAATCGCAACACGCTCTTCATTGCGCTACAAACAGGTCATAACTAGGTGAGGGGCGGGCTGCGCATACCTCGCCAAAAACCAAGAAAGGATAGAAAGCTCACCACGGGACGTGACGCGGCGGCAGGCCATGCCGAGAGGAGGGAGCGAGAGAAGAGGGGGAAGGTTCGCTTCGCCTCATCTGGCGTAAAGCACATCAGAGGCATCTGGGTGCGACATAGGGTTGCAAGCCTCAAACTGAGGCACAGGTGATGAGTATCGTGTATCGTGTGGCTCGAGGGGTGGATGCCCGCGACTCGACAAACCCTTTGTGAAGGTCCATGAGAATCGTTCGGCATATGCATGTTGCATCAATACCACCCCAGCCACAGCACCAACGCAGGGGGTGACTTGGGTATGGCTGGTGTTGTGATCGGTGTTCGGTGTTCGCATCTTCGGGTCCCTTGGCTGGCACGATACCTACTGTGAACTGCCTCAGGGCATGAAGCGGAATTCCTCCCGGCCCAGGATGGCCCCTCCCCGAATGTCACACGCTTGGAGGGTTCGGCTGCTGCAGCTTGACAGGAGGGAATCCACAGTCATAAAATTGGTGGAGGATTTGCGAGAGTCAGACGTCGGTGGGCCGCATTGTGTTGCAATCGCCTCGTAAGCGGATGTTGCATACGTGCAGGTGTAGCGATGATGCTCCAAGAGTCTGAGGATAACCAGGCGGCCGAGGGCTGCGACGTGATGTGTGATGGGGGCTTGGTGCAGTCGAGAAGGATGGGGAGCGGGGTCGCACGCTGCCTACCTGCCTCCTTACAGTACCTATCTGGGCAGCTTGGGCAGGTACTACAGGGTGCGTTGCGACTGCTCGGATGAGGCTCTGGAAGGAACCCGTTTGGGGGCAGTAGCACCTGCTGGCATCTGGGACACGACGAGCTCTACTTCCCGTGCGGGGGGCAAAGTCCAGTCAACGAGCCAGCGACGACCCCTTGTCCTTGCCGAGATCGGACTCGGAAGAATTCCCACCTGCGCATCCAACCGAATTTGCCCTGCTCGGCCCGGTGCCTCTTTCCCCTGATCTTTGATCTCTTCCAAGTGTTGGACCCCACGCCCCGGCCTCCTGGGACCAGGTCAGGACCTGCCGAGAAGTCATCCGCTCCAAACGACTGGGCCAATCATTTTGTGGGCTTTGCTGACACTCGATCTAATGGGCCCCCGCCCTGGTCTTCCCCTTCCGCGACCCTTGCCTATTTGTTGCCCGCGGAGGCGGCCTACAGATCACGTCACCCCCTATCCCAAACCCTACCTAACCATCAATCCCTGTCCTGGAGCCATGGAGCCCTGGGGAGTGCTAGGCCTCTTGCTCGCGACTGGTCCAGCCACCTTGCTCCGCTTTCCTTCAAGGTTGAGAAGAGGGGGATGAGAGGGCTAGCTGGCGGACTCCGTCTGTTGCTAGAGGTTGTCGGCAGTCGACGATGATGCTCCAGGTCGATATTGGATGAGAGAGAGAGAAGAAAGAGAAGGAGGAGGGGGGGGGGGGGGGGACTGGGAAGCCACTTGATCTCGATGAAAGACTCTCACTCGTTCCCCAACCTTGCAATATTTTTGTGCCCCTGCTGCAGCTTTTCTGCAGTTTCTGCTCCACCATTTGCAGAGATCCAAGACATCAGACCCAGAGGTTCGTCATGTTTTGTGGGCGAAGAAGAGGCACACGAACTGGTTCCCCCCAAGATGTCGGTTTGTTGCTTGCTCGTTCGTCCCGCTTGCCCGCTCACCTGCAGGTGTTCGTCTGAAGTCGGCGTTCGCACGCGCGTGCATCTCGATTGCAGCGGACATTGATTTTCTCTTCCTTTTTACCCGACTGCAGGCAAGCAGGCGGCGTGCTTCATGCACCTTCATCCCTCATGCCGCGTGATGGGAAGAAAAGGTCCCGAACCGACTGAAAAACGGTCGGGTTCCTGCAGATGCGTACGCCCTCGCTGCCAGTGAAATCGCTCTCCGCAAATCTTCCCATGACCTGGCAGATCACATGCCATCGGACCCCTCACTCTGGGCTCAGGGAGGCAAGGTACTGTCTAGTGCCTGGACACGTTCAATTAGGAAGCGAGGCACGGTAAAGGGGCAGGCCAGGTTGTGCTGAGTCGTACAGGCCATGGCTCTCCACAATCCTACCTCTCAGGTCTCGATGCATCTCCTCTTGCCGATGCTACTGTTGCTGCTGGCTGCTCTCCTCTGGGGAGCCCTTGGCGGCTCGACTGGCGCTGATTCACTGATTCCATCGCGAATCCGCCCGCTTGCCTATAGGCATGTCCTGATATTGTCGATGGCGTGCATGTTGATTCGCGACCTTCCCATCCATCCGAACCCCGACCGGGCTTCGGGCAGGCAGTCTCGTCCGGACCGCTGATTTGACAAGCAACAGGGTAGGACAGAGCAATAATAAACGCAAAATAGCATTGTGGTCCCCGAAGAGACATGTCAAGACCGTTGTAAAAGTCAGAGGGTGAGGCCGTGCGCCGGACCGCCCCCTGAGGCTTTCCCTGTCCTGCCTCGCCCGGACCTCCAGTGCCCTGGCCAGCGGTCGTAATTCTGCTCGGATCCGCCCCGTGATGGTTCTCTTGAGCCATCGAAAGAAGGAGGGGGGGGGGGGGGGGGGGGGGGGGGACCTTTAAAATTGTTAAATAAAGTACGCTCAATGAAACCATAAGGTTGGGATTCAGGGGATCTTGGGCAGCACGACAAAAGCGCGCCGGGGCATCCCAGCTGCATAGCAGACGGACGGGCCACAATCGGGATGCAAAATTGACAGGCCTTTCACTTCAAGTCTTCGGATTACGCGACGACCGTGGATGAGCGTATTTAATCTGGGCGCTGAGACACCAACAAAGCCGGGGTCGTTTCGTGACGGTAGGACTGCCTATTGGTCAGGTGCTGCAATTAGAAAATTTGAAAACCGCCCTTGGTTCGAGGTGCAGTCGAAATATTTCGCATCGAAGTAGAAACTGAAATCATCCACTTTCGATCAAACAGTGACTGACACCTGAAGACGACGTGCATATGCCTTCATGGACCGCTGCAGATGAGCGGCGCCGGCGCCACCTTCTAACCTGGGTGTCCTGGTTAGGTATCGAGGGGAATCAACAAGTCGAGGCCAGGGGGGAAACGACTGGACCGTGCAGACATGGACTTCTTGCACACGGAGCTGCGGCGAGGGTTTGACAGACGGCGATAACATGCACCGGTCCGGACAGGTCCGGGCAGGTCCTGGCCATGAACCTGTCGTTCAAGGAAAACACGGACTCGACGATAGCTTTTGACCATGACACGTCATTGCCGGTCTTCTTCATGGAATAAATCCAGGCATGTCCATGTCGATGTTGATGCCCATGTCCCACCACCCCCACGTTAGAGAACGATTTCGGC